ACCAACCCCAGCGGGGTGAGGCGCGGGCGACGAGGGGGGGGGGCTCGCGGGCGACAGGCCAGGAGTGCCGGCGGGCACGCTGTCAGGCCAGCCCGAGCCTGCTACCCCTGGGCGCACTAGTCCTCCCTGTCCCACCATCGTGCACGCTCGTCTGTGCATGGATCGTCTCCCCTGGGGGAGTAGCGCTTGCCTTTCCATTTCCAGTCTGTTTCCGTCCACGGTGCTTTCTGGTGGTTCCAGGAATCCCACTCCTGCCATTCGTGCGAGCGGGAGGGGGTGGCGGAGCCGATGGCACCTGCCCAACGATCACGCACGGGTGCCGCCGCGGCTGTTCTGCTTTCCGCTGTCCACGGGGCAGATCCACTGCTGCTGGCAGGTCCGCGCTGAGCGTAGGTCTTGGGTTCGCGGTAGAGGAGCTTCATGTGCTTATCCTTGACCGACGGCCAGTGGACGCTGAGCCTCTGGTCGCTGTCCATCTTGTAGGCGTCGTACCCTGCGCTGCCCCACGCCTGGATGAAATCGTTGCACAACTGGGCCGTGTTCCGTTTCGGGTCGTGCTTTTCGCTTCCGCTGGTCCCTTGTCTCATGGCGGCCTTCTTCACCCATGCGGCCCAAACTCCGTTGAACGCTCCTCCCAGCGTCTTTTGCAGGCGTATTATCCTGCACGGGTTCATCCTTTGTGACGTCCGCATCGGCAACGGGGCACATGTACATGGGGATGCCCCCCATGGGGTCGCTTGGGTTGCGTCGGGGAGGCGGTGTGGCCCTTACATCTTTCCAGGGCGCCTCGGAAATTTATACCCGCGCTGGGTCGCCACTTGGGGATTTGGTAGCGCGGCCGTCCCCTTCCTTGGCGTCATCCCACACGGGTCGCTGGCGGCCCTTGTCACCGATCCCGCGGTTGAGGGTACGGTCATCCCTGACGTCGTTGATGCTCCAGGGTGCGCTGTCTGCTCTTCGTGGGCTGTCTTTCGCGCTCTTGATTACACGGACGGCGTTCCTGACAACGATGTGGTCGTATGGGGACCAGGCGTCGGGCCTGTCGGGTGTCTCCGGGAAGAATTTGAGGGGGTCCACTTCTTCCTCGTCGGCCACCAGTGTCGGGCTGAGCTCTGGGCTCGGGTCCTTGGCGCAGTCGGTTTCGCTTTTCTTGCCCCCTTCCTCTCCCCAGTCGATCCCGTCAGGTTCGCCTTCGATCTTGCATGCCTGGCCGGTTGGGGCCCTCCCCTCTGCCTGAGGGACGCGTCCCCCGTCTGTGCCTGTGGCGGGGGGGTACGCTCTGGGGGCATGGGCACAGATGTCATCTCGTGCAGGTACAATACTGCTTGCCGGGGGGGAGGTGGTTCGCGGCTCCAAGGCGGATGACACGGAGCAAGCACAACGTCCGGGGCGCGTGACGATGTAAATTGGCCTCTGAGGCGTCAAGACTTGTTCCTCCTTCACCCGATGCATGAGCGACGGCGGCTTTGATTTTTGTAGTACATATATATATATATAGATATATGAATGTGTGAGCCGGCTGTGGAAAATCGCAACTACGTTGCCGCGCTTCCACAAAAGAAGAGATGAAGCGGCGTCCTCGTCCACGCAAGCCCAGAAGGTAATACTTGTAACATGCTTTCTCTGACAGGTTGCACCACTGGGCGTCTCCTGGGCAAGGGGCGTTTTGATTCGCGCTGTGCCGTGTTCGATCAGTATTGATGGGAACCTGGGAACCGTCCTAGCAGGGACGCAAGGCACTCCCAACGTGTCACAGAAAGCTAGATGGGACTGAGAGCCATCTTAGGAACCCCAAGGCCGTGAACTATCCGTACGGGCATTTTGTCTTCTGTGTGAATTGCGGGGCCGAAGCCCTAAAAAGGTGCAAAGATCTGTACAAGACATGTTCTCCTGCAGCCAAGTAGCCATCACGGCCACCACACTCTGCAGCGAATCAGGCCGTGATTGGATCCGTGCCTGCGAACCTCGTGGCAACTGGGGGCCAGCTGGGCGCAGCGATGCTTCTGCGGCTCTGGGGTGCGAGAAGGCGGGGGGCTCGGCGGAGCGGCGGAGGGCGGTGCCGCGCCTTCCTTGCCACCTCCCGCGCCCTTCCTCGCCCTCGCCCCCCACGGCAGGGAAACAGCTGGCCCAAGGCCAGGGCGTCAGCCGTGATTCCGATCAGCTACAGTTCGATGTTGGCGAGCTCGGCGCAGTCGGCGGCCTCAGATGCTGTCCCGCTCGGCGGGCCGCCCGCCATGGCGAGGAGGGGCGCGTCGCCGAGTTCGCGCTCGCGGAGCTCGCGCCCGAAGCGCAGCGCTTCGATGCAGCAGCGGTTAGGACCAGAACGCCCGTCGTGCTGCACCCCAGCATGTCGTTCCAGGGCGTCGAGGGGGCGGCCAAACACGCAGCAGGCCGCGGCCAAGGGCGAGCCCCTCGGCGACGGCTGAGGGGGGACGCTGGAGCATGGGTGTGCGTTGCCTGCCTCTGAGAGGATGGACAAGAGCGTTCCGCTACTCGCAAAATAACTACTCGCAGATGGCACGGATCCGCCGCGGGGGATTTACGATCCACCGCATAAAGGGAGGCACGTGTCCTCCTCGGACGTTTGTGCGCAACTGCGAGTGGCGGAACGCCCTCGGTGAGCGGAGGTCGGCAGCGGGCGCAGGCGCAGGGGCAGGGGCGCGGGGCGCGGGGGGGGCGCTGCCGCCGCAGGCCCCCTCGGGTGGCAGCGGCGGCCCTCCAGCGGGCGACCCGCTGGCGGGCGGCGGCACGGCAGCGAGCGGGGGGCGCGCTCCAGGGGCTGGGCACCGTCGGGCCCGCCATCGAGGGCGGCGCACTCTTCCCCGGGGCCGCACCCTCGGCGCCAGCAGCGGAGGATGCACGGATGGCCGAGGGGCCGGCGGTGCGGCGAGGCGCCGCCGAGGCTCGCGGCCCATCCGGCCGAGCGCCACGGAGTTCGCTCCCAACACGAGGGGCAGGTCCCGAGGAGCCTTGAGCTGCGGTTGGGATGTGCCGTTGAGGGGCGAGGAGGCGGCCACGGCCGCCGGAGACATCGAGGCCTGCGAGCTCGTGGCGGAGTTCGTCTGCGATCTCGGCGAGGCCATCGAGGAGCAGCACGAGCTCGAGCAGAGCTGTCTGGCTGCAGCACGGGTCCTGTGGCGGAGGGCGGCGCCCGAGCGAGGGGTGCGTTTGCAGAATTCTGGAATTCACATGCCGGCGTTAAAGTGACCTCTGAGGGTCGCGTTGTCGGCAGCGGTGGGCAAAACGGCAACACGTTGCTTGCAGGCCCGCCCAAAATTGCCTCCGAGACTCTCAAGGGGGACCCGAAGAGGGGCCCAAGATAAGAAACTCGAACTATTATTTGAAGCCCTGCACCCCCGTGGCCCCCGAGACAGCCAGCAGGCTCCCAAGAAGCCCCGAGGAAGGCCCCAAGAGGATACCGAAAGGCCCCAACTAAATGTTTGGACAATCCACTGATGTCCAGGCGATCTCCGTGCATAGCCTACAGGACGACAAATAAAGTTTGTGCAACAATAGATGCAATGACTGACTATGCGTCACGACCTCACAAAATGACAAATCCACCGACCCTGTCGACGTGTGGAAGACGCTCTTCCGTTCGTGGTCGTCGTCATCGTCATCGTCGTAGTCGTCGTCGTCGCTGTCGCCGTTTCCTTCTGTTCCTTGAGCTTCCCAAAAACGCGGAATCCTCGCTGGCGCCGTTCGCCCTGTCACCCTGGACTGTCCTCTTGACGCGCGCTAGCTACAAAGAAACTGAGCAACGTTGTGATTGAATCGAAGGGAAGCCCCTCCCCTTTGATCCCTTGCCCGCGGGGGGGGGGGTCCCAGGGGGTGGACTGGGGGGGTGGTCCCAGGGGGTGGTCCTGGGGCAGGTCCTGGGTCAGAATGCCATCCTCCCCAGCGCATCCTGGGCCCTCCTACCCTGAACTGTGACCCGTGGGGTGGTCCCGTGGGGGTGGTCCCAAGGCAGGTCCCTGGGTCAGAACGCCATCCTCCTCTTCTTCCACCTCCTCCCCCCTCGATGTCCTCCTCCTCATCATGCAGCTCCTCCTGCCCCCCATCCTCCTGCTCCTTCTCCTCCCCCCACCTCTTCCTGCTGCCCCCCTGCTTCTCCTTCTCCTCCTCCTCCTCCTCCTTCTCCTCCTCCTCCTCCTCCTCATTCTCGTCCTCAACGTCGTCGTCTTCAGGGTCGGCGGCACTGGCCGTAAGGCCTTCACAATATAGAGAAACAACTCGGCTCCACAGCGCTGCACACTCAACGGAACGCATGTACAAACACACAGAGAGTACATGAATACGTATGCACGTACATGGTTTCCACGACATCGGGGATCGGGTTGTCTTCAGCTTTGGCGTTGCAATGATCCCCGAGACGGACAAATCAAAACCATCAGAGCATACATCGAATTTACTATGGTGATGATATATCCAGCGCCATGACGCAGAACCAGAAAAACAAGTCGCATCGTCGTGGAGTAGATGCACCACAACAGAAAGCAAGGTAAGTATCCGTCTCTCCCGCATCGTGCTCCTGCTTCTCCTCCCCCTCAGCATGATCGTCCTCGTCATTGAAGCACTACCGACGTCAAGTGCTAAAGACGTCTCCGCAGTCGACGCGACTGGTCCCCAGAGGCCTGGGCAACGGTGTCGCAGGGGCATGATGTCCCGAGGGTGGCAGAGACGAAGGCCGCTACTGAGGAGGGTGACGAGGAGGAACGAGCAAGAGGGGAGGAAGAACAAGGCGAGGCGGAGGAGGGAAGAAGGGTAAACGTCTTAAGGATGGCAGAGACGGCGGCCGCGACTGAAGAGAAAGATGGAGGGAAAGTCGGAGAAGGGAGTGGAGGATGAGGTGTGGCCGCATTTGCACAGTCGGATACATGCTCTATCCTGCCCGTGTTGCACACCACGACAACAGCAAACTCACGGATCACGAACGAGAAACGAGGACAGGCGACGGACGACGAACGACGCAATACGAGCGATCACAACGGCCCCAGGACCTGCTCGTAGGACTTCTCCATGTGAACTCGGCGCGTGGCACCTAAGGAGAGGGCGCGCCACCGCCCCCTCCGCCCTGAGAGCCGAAAAGGCCACGGCCAGCTCGTCCGCGCGCTGGAAGATCACGGGACCCGTCCCGCCTATCAGATCCGCAAAGTAATTACTCCGACGGAAGGACCCCACATGAGAATCCTCTGGGCGAATCTGGAAAAAGCCCTCACCGTCGTCCTCGTGGTTGGTGAGGCGTCCTGGCTGTCTCTTCTGCGTATATTTCTTCTCGCCCTGGCGCGGGCCCTACCCCCGCTCCCTACGTTGCCCCCGACCTCGTCATCATCATCATCATCATCATCATCATCATCATCATCATCATCATCATCATCATCATCATCATCATCATCATCATCATCATCATCATCATCATCATCATCATCATCATCATCATCATCATCATCATCATCATCATCATCATCATCATCATCATCATCATCATCATCATCATCATCATCATCATCATCATCATCATCATCATCATCATCATCATCATCATCATCATCATCATCATCATCATCATCATCATCATCATCATCATCATCATCATCATCATCATCATCATCATCATCATCATCATCATCATCATCATCATCATCATCATCATCATCATCATCATCATCATCATCATCATCATCATCATCATCATCGGGTGCGTCCAAGTGGATACGTGCCGAACACGACCCAGAGGAAACGCACAGGGTGCGTCCCAGTGGATACGTGCGGGGGCACGACCCAAAGGAAGCGCACAGGGGTGCGTCCCAGTGGATACGTGCCCGGAATAGCGCTCTGGGAACACGACGAACACAAAGTGGCCTACAATTGGCTCCGGACATTCAGAATCTGGCCCGGGAGTGGTGTTCTGGGAACACGAAGAACACGAAGTGGCCTACACTTGGCTCCGGGCATTCAAAATGTGGCCCAGGAATGGTGTTCTGGAAGCGCGAAGAACACGAAGTGGCCTACAGTTGGCTCCGGGCATTCAAAATGTGGCGTGGGAGTGGCGTTCTGGCAGCGCGAGAGCCCAAAAGTGGGGACAGTTACAGGAATTGGATGACCCGCTCGGATTAGTAACATGACCCGCGGGCCCCATAGGGAGGGGGCTCCCGCTTGAGACTTCCTCGGGTTAGTAACATGATCCGCCTGGGAATGGCGTTCTGGCAGCGCGAGAGCCCAAAAGTGGCGACAGTTACAGGAATTGGATGACCCGCTCGGATTAGTAACATGACCCGCGGGCCCCATAGGGATGAAGGACGACCCGCTCGGATTAAGAACATGACCCGCGGGCCCCATAGGGAGGGGGCTCCCGCTTGAGACTTCCTCGGATTAGTCACATGATCCGCCTGGGAATGGCGTTCTGGCAGCGCGAGAGCCCAAAAGTGGCGACAGTTAAAGGAATTGGATGACCCGCTCGGATTAGTAACATGATCCGCGGGCCCCATAGGGAGGGGGCTCCTGCTTGAGACTTCCTCGGATTAGTAACATGATCCGCGAGCCCCATATGGCTCCCGCTTGAGACTTCCTCGCAATTCACTCACAGACGAGGCCCAAGGCGAGTGAGTGAGTGAGTGAGTGAGTGACTGACTGACTGGGGATCATGATGATCATCACACTCTCTCACGCGCACACTCGTCATCATCATCATCATCATCACCACCACCACCACCACCACCACCACATCATCATCATCATCATCATCATCATCATCATCATCATCATCATCATCATCATCATCATCATCATCATCATCATCATCATCATCATCATCATATGTGAGTTCATGAGCGTGTGAGTGAATGAGTGCTGATGAGTCAGTGAGTGAGTGAGTGAGTGAGTGAGTGAGTGAGTGAGTGAGTGAGTGAGTGGGTGAGCTAGTGAGTGAGTGAGTGAGCGCACGAAGACAGAAGAGGGGAGGGGGTGAGGTGAGGATATTCCTGCGCGGGGTGTCCAGAGAAAACAAGAACCCCATTTTGGATGTGGGGAAAAATAATGCGCAAAGGTCAGAGAAGCCATGAGAGCGGCAGGGAAGAGGGAAAAAACTCCTTATCATCATCATCAGCATCATCATCATGAGCATCATCAGGATCATCATCATCATCATCATCCTCATCATCATCATCATGTTCATCGTCATCATCATCAACATCTTTAGCGTCATTAGCATCATCAGCATCATCATCATCATCATCATCCTCATCATCATCATCATCATCATCATCATCATCATCATCATCATCGACTTCCCGCATCCTCCTCCACAGGCTCCAACTAGTCCTCCTCTCCCTTCCCACCACGATCATCCTTCTATTATCCTTCCTCCCTCCTCCTCCATATCCTCTTCATCCTCCTCATCATATTCCTCCTCCTCCTCCTCCGCCTCCTCCTCCTCCTCCTCTTCCGCTTCCTCCTCCTCCACCTACCCATGTTCCTCATGTGTCTGCCCCTTTTCTCCTCCTATAATCATTCCACTCCTCCTTTTCCTCCTCGTCCTCCTCCTCCTGTTCCTCCGCATCATCATATTCTTATCACTCATTCGTATTATAGTATTCGTGTTATTCGTATATAGTGAAAAAATGAGGGTACGATCGTGAATAGTAGTGTTCGTGTTATATATATGATGCGTGTTAGTATCGATGTTGTTTCATCCTCGCCATGAGCATCATCATCATCAGCACCACCACCATCATCACCCAACATCGTCATCATCATCATCATCATCAGCACCGTCATCATCACCAGTGCCTCATCACCAGCGACACCATCATCAGCACCACCACCACCATCATCATCATCACCAGCATCATCATAATCATCGTCACCACCGTCATCATCACCATCATCCCCATCATCTGCATCATCATCATCATCACAACCACCATCATCACAATCATCAGCATCATTATCATCATCGTCAAAACCAGCATCATCACAACCAGCACCACCATCATCATCATGCTTTAACGCTGTCTCCAGGGAGGGCTGGGTCGGGAACAACAAAAGGCTGCAGAGCGGGGCAGCGGGCGAGGCACGCTAAGTTCCTGCTACCTTCCCCCTACTCGTCTCACTGAACGGCCCATCTGACATCATTACTGCGCACGCACCCCCATGATGCTTGAACGCGGCCAATAGAATGATATCCCTGAGCGATCCACTGCAGGCTTGCCACCATACACCACCGAAAGTGATTGAAACAGTGTCCCGTACCCCATCTGGAAGAGAATTCCCGTCTTCAGGTCCGCGTTGGCTTCGGGTGGGTCGAGGAAGGAGAAGCCGTAGATCACGGGTTGGCTCTTGACAGAGATGAAACACCCGCGACGTGCCTCTGGACCCACAGAGATCGAAACGCGCGAGCGACGGCGGAGCACAACTGCGGAGGGAAATGTTTAGCACGATCTGTCATCCAGCCTGAGGTGCGAATGTGGCCCACCAGAGCGGGAGCACACGCCTGCCTTGCCAATGCACTTGTGATCTAGGAACGAGTCGTCAAAATCTGAGGACATCTGGATGGAGGTGCGCTTCCTGAACTCGGTCCCGAACTGGCACTGGTCAAAAACGATGAGTGTCGCATTGATTTGCGGAGGCTCTTCAAAATAAGCGTGCCCCAGAGCGTGGAGAAGGCGGGGTTATATGAACAGGATGTTGCGTCGAAGGGCCTGCCGGACGAGCACGCCAGTGACTCTCGCGAGCCCATTGCCTTCCAGACACACCTTTTCTATCTTTAGCGGAGAGATCCGAGAAGCCCCAAATACACTCAGGAGAACGCACGGAACTGGGCAGGGGCGAGGCTCGCGGCGCCCCCCTCGCTATACTGACGGAGCGGCACGGCGTAGCCATGAAGATTCCTCGCACCCTGCTCACGCTCATCGTTTTCAGCAGCGCTGGCATGATCCCAAGCGCAAACATGTCGGCGCCGAGCTCAAGCTCGATCTCTATTGACGAGATGCCGCACCTTGCGACTGCCTTGCAAATCCCCTCGGTCCGGCAAAAATGTCAGGGAAGACGTCGCCGCCCCCCAGCCAGGCGGTTGGGGTCCTCGGACCCTGCCGAGGAGGACGTCGCCAAGGTGCGAGCAGCAGAACTCGCGGTACTCCTGGACGTCCGGCGGCAGCTCCACCAGCCTGGCATTGACCTCGCTTGATTTCTCGCTTATAATCAGCGTGCTGATGCTGGCACACCGATCGCGCCTCTGAACCTCCAACTGCGGGTCCCCGTTGTCGTCGGAGGGCCCGAGGATGAGCGACCAGCTCTGGTAGGCAGGCCCGAAGCCAACTGCGGGCGGGGCGACATCGCGCACGCAGAGCCCACACAGCTCCCCGGGCCGCAAGTAGGCGCTGAGCGCGACCAGCACGGCCACGGCCACACCCGTGCGACCCACGAGATGAAGGGCCACAGCAAGTCCGCAGACGGTCGGATACGGCGATGGCAACCGACCCAATGCTGGCCGCCGTCGTCTCCACGCCTTGAGGGGCCTCTCGAACCTGGCCAGCGGCTTGGTGTTGAGCCTCTTGAGGTTCGGGTAGAAATGCAGGACAGTTGCCTTCAACTTCTCCTCGCCGCGCCTCCCCCTGCCGCCCAAGCGCGCCTGGTCGGCTCACACCAGCAGGGCCCCCCCCCCAAGTAGTCGAAGGTGCTGACCCTCAAGTCCTGGCGGCGGCGCGATCCCACTGTCGAGAAGCACGATCGGCGCGATCGACGAGGGCCCTCACAATCCTGGTGGCGAGGCAGCGGCAAGAGGCCACGCTGGCGACCATCAGCCACGCCTGAAACAAAATCTCGCCGTCGCCCTCGGAGAAGACCAACAACTGACTGGCGGCCCGAAAAGGCCACGAAAACGGAAAAGACGAAGGGCGGCTAGCCCTTCCTCGCAAGGGCCGCCTCCTCGCGAGCCCTGCGTCGCCCCTTCTGGATATGGGCCTCGCCTTGAAGCTGCAGAGCAACACGCGAGGTGAACAGCGGCGCGACCGCCGCAACCTTCTTGCCGAGGCCCTGGAAGTGCTCACCCCCTTCGAACCGCGGCGCCTTCGGGTTGGCATTGTAGGCCTCCTCCAGCAGCTGGATCCTTCTCGACAGCAGCTGGACGCCAAAGCAGAGACATTCAACTGGTCGTACGTGAGTGCCCATGCGAGGACCTCCATGACACTGCCATGCTGATGCTTGACCCTGTCGCTGTCTGGAATGTGAGCGTCCCGCATCCACTTCTCCGTTCTGGTCCGAGGAACACAGCCCTGGTCTCGAATAAAGTTGCACAGCCGTAGAATTGTCCTCGGACCTTGGATGGGGAAGTCCTTCCACGGCGGCTCCTCCAGCAGACCAACCCCATCGGCGCACGGGCGGAACCTCTGCCCCATCTGGTCGCACAGCACTGGAAGCGCTCGGGCATCGGCCGCGCGGACTGGCGAGTCCGCGGACGCGGGAGCCCCAGCCGTCGGCGGGCCCGCGATGGCTGCCGCCAGGCGGCCAGCCGCGGGCACGGCAGCGATAGCAGCCTCCAGCTCGCGCTTCCTCGCCTCGAGGACGCCGAGCTTGCCCCGACCCCGACGCACTCCAGGACAAGCGTAGCGGCCCCCAGCTTGACGAAGGCAAACCTCCCTTGGATGATGGCGTTGGCATCCACACTCCAGTCCTGTCCCACGCTGGGGGCCCCAGGCTGCCCGTCGCTGGCCACGACGATCCACTGCGCACCCCCGGCGGGCGCCACCACGGCAGGCCCAGCGGGCCGAGCGGCGGCCCCGGGCGGGGGCGCGAGCACTCCGGCGCCACCGGCAGCCGGGGCTCCCCCTCCCGCCAGCGGCGGGGCGGCTCCAGCGGGGGGCCCAGCGGCGGCGGGCACCAGGGCGCCTCCTGCGGCGGGCGGCGCTGCAGCGGCCTGTCCCCCAGGAAGCCCACTCCCATCGTCCCAGCCGTGAACAGCCACACGATCGCGAACGGCAACTGTTTCGGCGTCAGCCGCGACATCATCGACCCCCAGGGCAGCCCTGGGCATCTGGGCCTCCGCGATCCCATCATCGAAGATCTGGCGCCACTCCGCGTTCGAGTGCAACTGACCGAGCGGCGGGAGGCGGTAGAGCAGAGCGTTCGCAGGGATCGTATGCGGCACAGACCCTTGCATGCACGGACGGCCACCGAGCACCATGATGTCTTCTTCATAGATGTCGTCATCGGGTGTTGCTATCACCCAAGACGTTCCTTGGACTTGGCACAGCAGCAGGCGATCGTGCCAATATGCCTTCGCGCCCCCGTACCACACCAAGATCAGACGACCTGGAGCGATGGGCTTCGAGTCGGCCATGCACACGCCGAACGCCAGTGCCCCACACCGTGCCCAGGCAGCAGCCAGCCGCCAGCCCCGCGATGGCCGCGACCAGCACCGCGAGGAGACACCAGCCGCCGAGGCCCCGTGCCGCTTCTGGGCAGCTGGCCTCCGGGCAGCTCGGGCAGGCGGCGCCCCCGAGAGTGCACGGCGGGCACTGCAACGCAGGGCACGCCAGGCGTGGCGAGCAGGTGCAGTCGGGGCACGACCGCTCACTACTCTGGCCAGCCCACACCAAGGACGCGGCGCCCAGCGTCCGCACTGCCTCCCGCGAAGCCTCAACCAGCACGTCGCCGAGCCAGCCAAACATACACGGGGGCACCGTGACGGATGGGTCGGCACCGCGCAGACCCTGGAACAACAAAAGGCTGCAGAGCGAAGCAACGGGCGAGGCACGCTAAGCTCCCGCTACCTTCCCCCTACTCGTCTCACTGAACGGCACCTCTGACATCATTACTGTGCACACAATCTCGTCATCATCGTCGTCATCATCATCGTCATCATGATCATCAGCATCAGCATCGTCATCATCATCATCATCATCATCATCATCATCATCATCATCATCATCATCATCATCATCATCATCATCATCATCATCATCATCATCATCATCATCATCATCATCATCATCATCATCACATCATCATCATCATCACCATCATCCTCATCCTCATCCTCATCATCATCATCATCATCATCATCATCATCATCATCATCATCATCATCATCATCATCATCATCATCATCATCATCATCATCATCATCATCATCATCATACTCATCATCATCCGTCCGTCCGTCCGTCCATCAATCCATAAATCTATCCTTCCGTACATCCCTCCTACAGCTTTGAGTCTCCACAGCGCGAACTCCATTTTGGCTCGCGATGTCGCTGTGTCGTCGTGGCCGTGCTCGCACTGCCGCGCTCTCCATCCACCGGCCCGCCATCCCAACGCTTGGGCACGAACCGATCGGACACGAGGGACTCGGGGAGCTCCCAGGGTCAGGGGGCCCGCAAGCGTCGTCGCAGTCGTACCGGCACCGCCGCGCTCTCCTTCCGCCACCTTGCCCTCCCCACACCCCCTCAGGAAGAGAAGATGATACTATGGGGCACGAGGGACTCGGGGATCACTGAGAGCCGGAGAGACAGCGGGACGCATGCGGTGCCGCGGCCGTCCATGAGGCGCCCGGGAGAGCTCTGAAAATCTGCGCGACGAGCGAAGCCAGAATCGATCAAAAGTAGTGAGCATGAGGATCCGAGGCACCTAGAACGCACCAAGTCAGGGGTACCCTTGGACCAATGAAAAAGAAAGCACGGCAAGAATATCCAGAACCGAAGGATGCAAGGGTACCTTGCTTCACAGGCGGGTACAGCTCATCTTCCGAAAAGGGTTTGACTGTTTTTCGCATCTGGGGAAGTCCAGTCCTGGACTCTGGCGTAGTTGTCCCCCGCACCTGCTCCGTTCTCTCCGAAAAGTCGAATCCAGGTCCTCGTCCCTTTGCATCCCTGATCGCCCCCACTTGCGGCGTCCCCCCCTCCTTTTCCCACCTCCTCCCCCCCTTCTCCCTCTCTAAGCCGCCCGTGGTTTGTGTGATGTTCGTTTCTCCCCTCTCCTGCCCGATATCCAGCCGCCCGTGGTTTGTGTCATGTTCGTTTCTCGGCGCGACACCTAGCCCTCTTGCCAATACGACAGCCAGCCTCACTCCAATGGGGTGCCTGCATTCGAGGTCGCACAAGAAGAGGAGGAGGAGGGGGAGGAGACAAACGTGGAAGCGGCGACGCCAAATACACAACGCACCCTAAGCAATTCTCACACTGTTCAAGTACCGTACCCGCGACACGTTGTCACGAGCAAATGCCCTTCCCCTGCATTGACCAAGCTCTCCCCACGTATGCTGGAGTCTCCAGTGGGTATCAGAAGGCATGAAGCTTACCAGTACAGGCGGGAACACCGACGTCCATGCCCTCTTGGATATGAACCCATGCTGGCGGCTTCCCAGACGGAACTCCCTTGCACAGCCCGATAAAGCCCCCTGGTACGATCAATCAAGCGAGACCAAGCACGATTCTCCTGGATAGCAAGGTCCAAGCGGTCGCGGGGTCCTAGGAGATAGAAGGATGCCTGGAAGAGGAATGAGGAGGATCCCCCTCCTCATTTTCATCCTCATCCTTCCCATCTCCCTCCTTTCCTCGCGCCCCCCCCATCGCTCAAGATGGCATCGAGAAGGCGACACGAAGGGTGCAGGAAAGGAGGCGTACGAGGGCGGGGGGGACATCGCGGAGGACGAGGATCAAAAGGAGATACGGACAAGAAGGCGACGGGGGTGGGCAGCGCGGGCGCGGGCTCGGGTGTCGCCAAAGTCAGAAGCACGGTAGACAGACACAGCTAAAAAAAAAACGGGACACGCAGCGGCGCCTGACAGCATCCCACTTCTAGCTACTCCACTACGGGAATGCGCCATTGGGGTCGATGCCGTTCTTCTCGAACCAACCCTCTTTCCCAAGCTCCTTGGCGTACTTGCACGCCATGTCGTAAGGCTCCCCGTAACAGTCTGACAGCTTCTTCCCGATGTACCACATGCAGGACTGGCAATCTTCCCAGCACCAATGGGCGCCATCCCTCCTATGCGGGCGCCCTTTGCAGAGATTGTAGCATGGAGTCGACATGTTGTACTTGGCCATCAAGTAGACGCTCCCGATGCAGGTGGCGCACGGCGTGGACACAGGGAAATACGACTGGTAGCACGGGACAAACCCGGAACCACCCGTCATATCCCACGACCCAGAGGCCTCGGCACCCTGGTAGCACGAACCGGTCTTGAAATCCCCCGCGCGCATGGCTGGTGGCAGCTTCTTCTTCGCCTGCTTCAAAGCCATATCGTTGAGGATCGTCATGTCGGCGCTGGTGCACTGCGCTGTGCTGCTGAGCGGCCAGGATGCTGACATGGGGTAAGTGTCGCCGGGGCTCAGTGGCGCCTTCCACGGCCCCGCCAGATCCGAAGTCTCGGCAATCTTGCGGCCCTGACCGAGGAGCTGCTGCTCTTCCTCCTCCTTCGCCTGCCCAACGAACTCAAAGAAGCCGCCGAAATCATACACTGGATCGTCCTCCTTGCCGTCTGCATCCAGGTCTGCTCCATCCGAGCGCACATTCAGCTGGGTACTCACACGAAGGAAGGCGAAAGCTAATACCCACCGGCAGCTCATCGCGCGCTCACTGTGAAAGAGGACGAGGTGGTTATGGGTACAACAGGCCGAATGCAGTAGAGTGGTGCGTGCAGTTTGATGTGGACTGTCTGAGCCAGAGCGGCTACTGGGAAGGAGAAGAAGCACTAGCATCAGCAGGAGAAGGAGGAGAAGGAAACTCCCGCCTGACATTGCGCACGGCTCATCCTTGATAACAATTCCACGCGGCTAGTTAAGGTGTGTCCTTGTGCTCATCCCCCTCCCCCCGCCTCTCCTAGCCCCTCATCCCCTGTTCTGCCCTATTCGCTCGGACTGTATTTTGGTAACCTCTGTGATCTTCACATTTAGCCCAGAGGTCGACAAAGAAGGCATAGAAACTGCATTAGGTATGGACTTATTCTTTTATATACATGTGCTGCGTCCGAGATACCAAACTGAAATCCGTAGCACTAGCGCATTCGCGCCAGTACTTGACAGGAAATGGCGACAGGGGTACTAGGCAGATACCATAAGAAAATAGGAGCATGGGAGCTTCAACTGGCAGTTGTTCCCGGAGGAAAACGAGACCCCCGCGCGGCAACGGCTTCCCGCTTCGCCCCACCTTTCCAAGAGAAAGGGGATATGATTTCCGGGGGGGTCAAGTTCGGGCTGTCTTGGCGAGAGGGGAACGGGTTTGATTTTGATGTCTGAGGGTGTCCGGCGATCTGTTTCGATCGGTCTGGGAGGTTCTGGGTGGGGTCTTCTGTTTTGACCACACCTTGGCCTAGAGAAGCGGGGCTGTCTGAACGCGGCGCAAAACGCAAACGCCCTGGGGGCTGAATTTTAACTTGCGCCATGTTCGCATTCGGTTGGAGAGGGGAGAGTCTCCCCGACGCCATTCGGAAACTTCGGGGGGGTAGGATTCTTCGCGGTTTCGTCGTCAGCTGGGAGGTGTTCTCGGCGAGCCTGTCTGAACTCCTCGGGGGGGTTCTGCATTTTGATACTCCGGCTCCTAGCCCTCAGCTGGAGGCGGGGTCTGCGCGATCCTGTCCAAGACTTCTGGGGAGGGTCCACCTTTTGACCCCTCGAGCGTCCGCTCCCGGCTGCTGGGAGGGGTCAGCGAACCACTCCTGGACTTCTTGTGGGGGGGGTCTGCTCTTCGACGTCCCGACTGCCAGCCCTCCGGTGGAGAGGGTTTCCCTGAACCTGTCGTAGAGGTCAAAAATCCACCCCCAGAATGACCACCCAACACATGAAGACGTTTAGTAAACGCGCCCAAAGAAGCAATCGAACAGGGCAGGGCCTTTCAGCAAACGCCCAGGGCCGCTTAGCAAACGCCAATTATCGGGTCTGGGTGGCTTTTCCTCCCTTGATTGCCTGGCACTTCTTCGCGGGGCGCGGCAGGTGGCGACCTGGCGGGCGTCTGGGCTCTGATTCTGCCGCGGCGGCCCTGCCCCGCCACGACGGGGAGGTGGGCCCTGGCCCCACCCGTCGGCGGCACCAGAGAGGGGGGGGGCCTCGATCTCGATGGGCGCCGAGCCCGCGCCCCGCCGAGGGTGCTCCCCCGCAGTCGCCGGCGGCACGCGCAGGGGCTGCCCAAGAGGAGCCCAAGACGGCCAAGAGGGCCCCAGGAGTCGGGAGCGTGCAGACATGGACCAACCTCCCCAGACTGGGGCTGGTGCCGCCTCGCTCGGCGGGTGAAATCCGCGATTTCCCATGGAAACGGGGCCCGTCGCTAATCCACGCCCCCTTGATCCATGTTTGCGATCGCCTGAAAGAGGGCCTGGAGAGGGAACCGACAGATGGAACACGA